TGTGTGTGTGTGTGTGTGTGTGTGTGTGTGTGTGTGTGTGTGTGTGTGTGTGTGTGTGTGTGTGTGTGTGTACATGTTATTCCTACATCGTGGGAACCATTTTCCCAAAAAAAAGCAGCCTTGTCGAATGCAAATTAAGGATTGGGGGTTGGGTTTAGGACCAAGGTGTGAATTGAGTTTAGGTTAGTTTTAGGGTCAGGTAGGTACCTGTGAGGTTAGCCTTAGGGTAAATTGTCAAGGTTAGGATATAAAATTACCAAAAAAATGAATGGAAGTCAATGGACGGGCCCCACAAGGATATAAAAACAAGTGTGTGTGCGTGCGTGCGTGCTTTTAACTGGTGGGGATGATTTTGGACCATTTTACCTGAACAAACAGCTTTGTGAGGACCCACTGTTCCTTGTGGCAACAAAAGCCCAGTTAACATGAATTTAAAGGCTGTTTTATTTATTTTATTTATTATTTTTTTATTTATTTTTTTGGAGGGTCAGGTGTTCAGTTTAGAACTAAGATGTGAATGGAGTTTAGGTTAGGTTTAGGGCTATATATGTACTGGGGTGGTTAGGGTTCAGTGTAAGACTAAAAATGACCAGAAAATGAATGGAAGTCAATGCAAAGTCCCCATGAGGTTAGAAGAACAAACGTATGTTTGTGTGTGTTGCTGAGTAATGCAGTGCTGTGGCATGTGGCCTAAGTTTCAGTGTTGCACGGCTGTGTGCTGACCCCAGCTGGTACAATATTAGTACAGTATTTGTTAGTAATTGCTCATTTCTCTTTAAAAAAAACAAGAACAAATCAAGAAAAACAAAAACATATGGTAYACATTTTTTTCAAAGACCTTTATGTAAAATGAGAACGCACATTTTTGAGTGGGATTATATAACGTTTATGCTGCAAAAAAAGAAACAAAAAGTTGACTTTTTACAAAAACTGCCAGTTTTACATGACACAATAAGACAAAAGGGGTTTTGTTTTCTCTAGTAGCTTTTTAAAGCTAATTTCAACTAACTTATTTTTATGAGCAAATTTACCTCAGCAGCTTTACCACGTTTTCTGCCTCTGGGTCATATAAAAGTAAAATTAGAGAGATTAGCTGTAACTCACCACGTTAACAACATGAGGCTTATTTTTAAAGAAGTCTTCGTTCAGTTGTTCCCTCTTCAGGGGTCTCCACAGTGAGTCATCCTCCTCCACCTCACTCTGTCTGTACTCTAACTACCACTATGTCTTATAACTGCATCCATGTGCCTTCTCATTGTTCATTTCCTGGCAGCTGCATCTCTGACACCCATCTACCAGTTTACCCACTGTCCCTCCTCTGGACGTGTCCAAACCCTGTCAGTCTGGTCTCTGTAATCTTATCTTCCAGTCCTTCAACCTGTGCTGTAGCTCTGATGATCTCATTCCTAATCTTCTCCGTCCTCGTCTCTCCCAAGAACTTCAACATCTTCAGCTCTGCCAGACTGTGGTGCAGTCGGACAGTCGTCTTGGAACCAGAAAGTCGCAGGTTTGATTTCTTGCCATGCCCACACAAGGTGTCCTTGAGYGACACCTAATCCCTGGCAGCTCCCGCTCTGCGGCTGTCTGCTGCTCCACTGTGTATCTCACGTGTGTGATGGGTTAAAAGCAGAGGACACATTTAGTTGCTGTGTGCCTGCCATGATGACAACACACATCCCATCATTTCAAAACAAAGATGGCGTCTGTGTCATTTTTTTTCTTATTTTCTTATTCTCTCCATTAGCTCCTCAAAGTACTCCGTCCACCTTCCCATCACGCTCTCCTCACCTGTTAGAACATTTCTATCTTTAACAGGTATGACCTGCTGCACATCTGCTCCAGCCTGATTCTCTCACCAGTCGACACAAGTCCTTCTCTCCCTCCTCAGTGTCCGGCCTACRATCACAAGTCATCGTGTTTCTCTGTCCTCTGACCCGTCGGTGCAGACAAAATAGTGAAAAACCTTAATCGAGCTTCATCGAACCTCAATGTGCACAGTCTCAAAACTACAAGACCCTGTGAGCTTCATTAGTGCTCAGTGTAGAGGATGACTCCCGGCTGCTACCACATTAATCGTCAATCATTTACGTCGGTGGCCATCTTGAATTAGTTTGACTCAATGTAACGATCACTTTCTGAGTTCATWAAAATCCAGCCGGTGGTTGACAGCCTTTTGCCTTCATGAGTCCAACTTGGCGAAGTGTTTGATCTACGATATAGCTTTAAAATATTTTTATTTAGACTTGTTTTTATAACCATCTGACAATGATTTGTTGGATCGAGCTATATTTAGACGTTTTCTTCTCACAAATAGTTTTATGATGCACAATGTGAGGAGACTCAAAGTGCTGGATCAATATCTGCTCCACGCTCCATAATGTGCACCTCGTGAGACTGGATCCCATAATGCTTTGAGTGAGTAAAAGGGTTGATCTCCACCTGAGTGTTTCGGTAATAGCTGCACCCTGCTGTCTCTGCGTGACATTTAACGCACACAAACACGTTCTGCACCTCTCATGACTCACAGGCCGGGGCCACATGAGGTGAGCACCAGCAGCCAACGGGTACATAAGCAGCGTGAAAGGGTCCCTGTGCGCCTGTGCTCGCAGTGGTGATCTCCCACACAGAGAAATAAYAGTGCTGGAAGGAGACGCAGAGAGAGGGAGGTGGAGGAGCGAGAAACTATGATGAGGCATTGGGGAGAACCAGGAAGAGACCGATGTTGCCCGTTAACCTCAGACAGGAATATGGGCAAGAAAATGTTCTTTCCACCCTGACGCAAGTACCAATAAAAAGCCTATCTCCTCTTCAGTGTGTGTGTGTGTGTGTGTGTGTGTGTGTGTGTGTGTGTGTGTGTGTGTGTGTGTGTGTGTAAGCAAGGCTTTATAAAGGTACAGCGTGTTCTTGGCTGCTGTATGATTGGCTGAAGTTGTAGAAAAACGTGTGCAGAATTTACACGTATAAATAAAAACAGGAAAATTCAACAGTTCACACTGAAGTTACTGATTTGTTTTGAGACGGCAAAAGTGCCACGGAGACTCGACAGTAAACACATCAAATGTTTAAACTGAGAAATTATACCCATTTTAGGACGAGAAAAACAAACAATCAACTAAAACGGTAAGGTTATTTTGAATTGACTGCAACACATTTACAAAATGTGGGGCGCCTCCGGACCCCTCTGACCACCATCAGTAGGCAAGGAGGGTGAAGTGTCTTGCCCAAGGACACAATGACTGAGASAGCTGGAATGAGGGATTGCAAYCTACCGGTTACGGGACGACTCCCCTAACCCAACAGGTCAGTTAGAGGACTGGGCATGAAAGAGACGTTAAGAGAGGCTGAATCTCTCAGAAGCAAAGATGGGCAGAGGTTCAGCAGTCTGTGAAAAACTTGCCCAAAAAATAGTGCCACAGTTTCTGAATAATGTTCCTCAAAGGAGGTGGGCACGGTGGCTCAGTGGGTAGAGCTGATGCCTCTCAGGAAAAAGGTCACTGGTTCAAATCCTGGCTCAGTGACAGCAAAAATAGGAGTGTTAAAATTTTAAAAAATAAAAAGTTTGACAGTATAGACATCAAATCTGAAGAAACGTAAACTTTTCTGTTGACACACATCAAAATAAGCCCACAAACCGAAGGCCCTGCCTTCAAACATGTACAATTTAATTTATTCATTAAGACCAGCTTTCTCACAACGAGGGAGATTTGAAGCTGCTTCCAGACAGCTACTTCTCTWATATCAGGGATTGTAGAAACAAGACTTTTGAATTTGATATTATAAGTTTAGTTGCTGTCTTTTTATAGAGCAGTTTTTAAAATAATCAAATTATTTTGTAGAATATTAAAAGCTTACTGC